CCATTACCACATAGATCATTCTAGACTTCTTCTGCCCTTGGTTATCTGTAATTTCCCACTTGAACACTGAGAAAACTGGCTCCCTGCCATCTGTTTACTTAATTGTTCAGTTCCTGTATATGTGGGTTTTTTTTTTAGATTAATTTATTTATTCACGAGAGATAGAAAGTAAAGACACAGGCCAAGGGAGAAGCCAGCTTCCTGCAGGGAGCGGAATGCAGGACTCCATCCTGGGTCCCCAGGATCACGCTCTGAGGCAGAGGCTCAGACGCTCAGCTGCTGAGCCACCCAGGTGTCCCCCTGTATGTTTATAGATTTAGTGGCTTTAAAATTAACACCCAGTGGCAAACAGCTGTATCCACTGGAGAACAGCTCTTATGTGGAGTTTCCTTTGCCTGTAGTCTTACAGACTCCATTCATTTCCAAAGGTATTTACATTAGTTCCTTTACGCTGCACCCCCTTCATTGAGGTTGTTTCCGTGTATTTATAATATAATTAGATTATTTTGTCGTAATCTGTATTCCATCTTAGGATCCTCTGACCTTTTAAATGATTTTTTAAAATTTACTTGCATTAAGATTCACTCTGCTATAAAGTTCTGTGAGCTTTGACAAATACATATATCCATTTGCACTTGTTGTTTTTGCACTTGTTGTCCTGCCCAGACTACTCTTTCTGCATATTTTTCCATGAATGGACCCTTACCTTTCACCAGCTTTCTGCTGAAATGTGTCATAGTGTCATATATCCATTTGCACTTGTTTTTGCACTTGTTGTTCTGCCCAGACTACTCTTTCTGCATATTTTTCCATGAATGGACCCTTACCTTTCACCAGCTTTGTGCTGAAATGTTAGCTCCTTTTAGAGGCTTTTCCTCAATCCAAAGGAATCCCCTACCCTAAAAGAGTGTTTATTTATTTGCTCTGTGCATGTGATTTGTTTTGGTCAGTCTGCCTCTGGTAGGATATAAACTTATTGAGTGCAGGAACTGAATTTGTATCCTGGGTATCTAGAATACTGGGTCAGTGAACATTTGTTGATAGATAAATAAATAGTCCTGTCCTAGGTGTGTCCAGCATTGCATTATTCCTAGTGCATGGTTTTAGTACTCACCAGTAGTGATCAAAAGCAGGCTTGTTCAGTTGGACTTCCAGTTTACCCTGATTCACTACTTAAAAGAGTTTTGCATGCAAATTAGGGTATTTCAGTATATTGAAGATATATTGAGCAATTACTGATTGTTCTCTCCTATAATGTTTCTCTTTTTCTAAAAAAAAAAAAATATATATATATATATATATATGACATATAGTATAATCTCTTGTCCTGGTAGAACTATATAATACCATGAATTTCCCAGCCTGGCTATACATTACGATTCATTGAGGAGCTTAAAGGAAAAAAAAAAAAAAAGAAAAAAGAAAAAAAAAAAGATTCCTGGGCTTCATCTGTGACTTACTGATCTTCAGGAAGATTCTGCAAATTTGTGTTTTAACATCCAGCTTAACATCTATTCAAAACATTTGGAATTTTAAGCGCCAAGGTATTAGTATGTAATGAGACTTGGTGAGAATGTCTAGAGGATTTCAGTTTATAGTGACAATTACCAAAGCTTACATAAAGGTCTTTTTAATTTGGACTTTTTCTATAACTTTTTAAGTTACTCTGTGCTATAGATATATCCCAGATCTTGCTCTCAAGGAGCTTGTATCCTCTGATAAGGTAATAGAATGAGTATAAATAATCATGGTAGGGGCACCTGGGTGGCTCAGTGGGTGAAGTGTCTGCCTTCAGCTCAGGTCCTGGGATTGAGCCCCACATCGGGCTCCCTGCTCAGCAGGGAGTCTACAACCCCCTCCCTTCTGCCACTCTCTCTGGTTGTTCTCTCCCCCTCTTTCTCATAGAAAAATAAAATTCTTTTTAGAAAAATAATAATCATGGTAGAAGGTAGAAAATAATAGTTACATAAGAGAGATAGAAAACAATTTAAAGCAGAATGGCCATTCACCCTGAGAAGGTAAAAGTAGTCTAAACCTTTTATTTTATTTTTTTAAGATTTTATTTATTTATTTGAGAGAGAGCATGAGCAGAGGGGAGGAGGGAGAGGGAGAAGCAGACTCCCTGCTGAGCGGGTAGCCTGATGTGAGGCTTGATCCCCAGGACCCTGGGATCATGACCTGAGCCAAGGCAGACACTTAAGTGACCCACCCAGGCACCTGAGTAGAGTCTAATTCTTTTTTTTTTTTTTAAGATGATATTGATTTATTCATGAGAGACACAGAGACAGGCAGAGACACAGGCAGAGGGAGAAGCAGGCTCCATGCAGGGAGCCCAATTTTGGATTTCCGGGACCCCAGGATTGCGCCCTGGGCTGAAGGCGGCGCCAAACTGCTGAGCCACCCAGGCTGCCCAGTAGAGTCTAAATCTTAAAGAGAATGTATATGAGGAGGGGAAACCCTGGATGTCCCAGTCTTCTGCAAAAAGCTGTGAGAAAATTGGAAGTTAAGAGAAAAGTCGGCAGTAGCCAAATTGAGAAGAGGCCTGGAATGGTCAAAACTAAAGTCCAGACTGTTAGAGCTGTGAAAGCCAGTGGTTCCTTTTTTTTTTTTTTTTTTTTTTTTTTGTAAGAGGGCTGGGGAGAGACAGAGGGATAGAGAATTCTGTCTCCACACTTAGCACAGAGCCTGATGTGGGGCTTGATCTCATGACCTAAGTTGGACACTTAACCAGCTGAGCCACTCAGCTGCCCCAAAGCCAATGGGTCTAATTAATAGAGATCTAGAGTAATTAAAAGAGCTTTCCAATTTCAGTTTTGAATTTTGTACAGTATTCTGGGCAGCCCCCGTGGCACAGCGGTTTAGCGCCGCCTGCAGCCCAGGGCGTGGTCCTGGAGACCCCGGATCGAGTCCCGCATCGGGCTTCCTGCATGGATCCCGCTTCTCCCTCTGCCTGTGTCTCTGCCTATTTCTCTCTCTCTGAATGAATAAATAAACAAATCTTAAAAAAAAAAAAGAAATTTGTTCAGTATTTTAAACATAAAAACACTTTTTCCTATCAAAATTTACATATTAGTTGGGTTTTTAAAAAAATAAACAATTGCATACCTAAATAATACAAACTTCAGGTTTTTTGTTTTTTTAAGGTCTGGAAAGGACAATCAGTCCAAAAACTAAGTCCCTCATGGTGCACATAAAGGAAGCTAAATCTTTTATTATTTATTCTATTTAAGTATTTATTTATTCATGAGAGACACAGAGAGAGAGGTAGAGACACAGGCAGAGGGAGAAGCAGGATCCCTGCAGGAAGCCCGACACGGGACTGGATCCTAATCCCGGATCATATCCTGAGCCGAAGGCAGACACACTCATCCGCTGAGCCACCCAGGCGTCCCTATTATCATTATTATTATTATTATTTTTAAAGACTTATTCATAAGAGACAGGCAGAGACATAGGTAGAGGGAGAAGCAGGCTCTCTATGGAGAGCCCGATGCAGGACTTAATTCCAGGACCCCAGGATCAAGACCTGAGCCAAAGGCAGATGCTTAACTACTGAACCACCCAGGTGTCCTACTAAAATATTTTAGAATTAAATCCTAAGGGGTTAAAGTGTGTCTAGTCCATGGTTATAGGGTACAGGAATAAGGCGGAACCTCAGGCTCCTGATTCAGAAGTGCATGTTACCACAATATTGTGAGGTTGAGATCAGTCTCTTTCTCCTGCTGCTTGCTGGTTGTTAAGAGGAATTTCTTTAGAACAGAGACTTTATCCTATTCATCTCTGTATGTATCTTTTGGGCATAGTAGGCAGTATATAGAATAGACAATAACAATAGACATTTGTTATATGAAAGGATGGATGGATGGATTTGGCTTTTGTATTAGACCTCAAAAGAAGTCTAGGATTTAGCTTTGTGCAAATTTCTGGTTATTATAAACTTCAGAAGAGATGGCAGGCCCAGGGATTAAATTAAGAGTCATCTGAGTAGAAAGGGCAGTTAAAGACTAAGGATTAAATGAGATTGTGGGTGTGGGGGTTGAGGAGGCACCTGAGTGGCTTAGTTGGTTTAGTGTCTGACTCTTGGTTTTGGTTCAGGTCATGATTTCAGGGTCATGAGATTGAGCCCCATGTCCGGCTCCACGCTTAGTAGAGTCTGCTTCAGATTCCCTGCTTCCCTCTCAGTACATACGTATATACATACAAACAATCTTTAAATGAGATTTCCAGGGAGGGGGAGGTATAGAGAGATGAAAGGACATTCCATGTAGAGGGGTGGAAGACGAGGAGCCAGAGAAGGAACAAAGTGAAATCTGAGAACAGTCCAAGGAGAAGGGAAAAGGGAAAAATACCATAGGGAAATCTAAGTGGGACACCTGGGTGACTCAGCGGTTGGGTGTCTGCCTTCGGCTCGGGGCGTGATCCCAGAGTGTGGGATCGGGTCCCGCTTTGGGCTCCCTGTGAGGGGCCTGCTTCTCCCTCTGCCTGTGTCTCTGCCTCTCTCTTTGTGTGTTTCTCATGAATAAATAATAAATAAATAAATCTTTAAAAAAAAATAGGGAAGTCTATGAATAACAGACTCAGTTTTACACAGTTCATGTTATAAGGTAGGTTATATGCTAGTAGGCAAAATGATATAAGTTATTGAAAGGCTTTACCTTTTCTCAGGAAAAGGCATTACCTTTTCTCAGTGGTTGAAGAAATACTTAATTTTTTTAAACTTAAATTTGAGAGGAGAAAATTGATTTTAATCACTAGTCATCTTAATTGAAAGCCTTGAAGTTTTAAATGGTAAGAAACTCATTCTTTTGTTCTATAGGAGTAATACCTGCTATAACTGACTAGATAAATTCTGAATAGTGACATTTTTGCCATATTTGAACACCTATCTTCAATACTTTTCAATGTAGTTTCCCAGCAGCATTCATAAGTATTAGGGAAATATCTACATATATACTGTTGGTTTCTCCCTAAGTAACTTTTTGGTTTTTCCTTCTTTTCAGGATCTGACTGGCATAGAATCTATGGATCAATGTCGCCATACCTTGGAACAGCATAACTGGAACATAGAGGTATAGGGGAATTCATTCTGAGCTTATTTCTTTTTTCCTGGTTTGATGAACCAAAGACCACTTTTCCACAGCAAGAATTCTCTCTTCATAGTTTCTTTTTCCTTCAAATTTACAACTCTTTAGTCTTTAAATGTGTAGGAAAGATAAAAATTATGATCAAAGTGGACACCTGGGTGGCTGGATGGTTGAGTGTCTGCCTTTGGCTCAGGGTGTGGTCCTGGGGTCCTGGGATTAAGTCCCCCATCAGGCTCCCTATGGGGAGTCTGCTTCTCCCTTTGTCTATGTCTGCCTCTCTCTCTGTCTTTCATGAATAAATGAATAAAATCTTTTTTAAAAAATTATGATCAAAGTTTATTATAAAATTAAGGGGCACCTGAGTGGCTTAGCAAGTTAAGTATCTGTCGTTGGTTCCAGTCATGATTCCAGGGTCCTGGGATTGATTCCTATATGGGGCTTCCCACTCGGTGGGAATTTGCTTCTCTCTTTACCCACCCCCCCATTCTCTCTCTCTCTAAGTAAATAAAATCTTTAGAAGAGGGCAGCCCCAATGGCCCAGTGGTTTAGCGCCGCCTTCAGCCCAGGTTGTGATCCTGGAGACCTGGGATCAAGTCCCGCCTCGGGCTCCCTGCATGGAGCCTGCTTCTCCCTCTGCCTGTGCCACTGCCTCTCTCTATCTCTGTCTGTCATGAATTTAAAAAAAATCTTTAGAAGAAAAGTGTATTATAAAATTTTATAAAAGATGATGACTGAGGATGCCCGGTGGCTCAGCAGTTGAGCATCTGTCTTTCGCTCAGGGCATGATCTCGGAGTTCCGGGATCAAGTCCCACATCGGGCTCCTTGCATGGAGCCTGCTTCTCCCTCTGCCTGTGTCTCTGCCTCTCTCTGTGTCTCTCATGAATAAAATAAAATCTTAAAAAAATAAAAAGGATGATGACTGGGAAACCTGGGTCGCTCGGTAGTTTAGCGCCGCCTTCGGCCCAGGGTGTGATGCTGGAGACCTGGGATCGAGTCCCACGTTAGGCTCCCTCCTGGAATCTGCTTCTCCCTCTGCCTGTGTCTCTGCCTCTCTCTCTGTGTCTCTCATGAATAAATAAATAAAATCTTCTAAAAAATAAAATAAAAAAAAATAAAAAGGATGATGACCAGATCCCTCTGTGTAATGCTCTCCCTCTTTATTTTTTTCTCAGTGGCTCTTTGGAAAAACTTGATTTTTATGTATTTGGTTTGTAACTAAATACCTTAATGTGAACCTCTTACTGCATATTTTATAGTTTATTCTTTTATATTTTCTTGGTAGCTAGCTGTGTCATCTGCAACTCTTGATTTTTTTCCCCCATATATAGATCTTTTATTTCTTTTACTTGATCATTGAATCTCTAGAACAACAGTGTCACTTAGTAATAATAGCAAACATTGGCCTCTAATGTTTTATTATCGAGTGTGATGTTGTTTTGAGATCCATCACTAGAGATTAGTAAGCTCCATGAGAGCAGAGATATTTTTTTTTAAAGATTATTTATTTATTTATTTATTCAGAGAGAGAGGCGCGCAGAGACACAGGCAGAGGGAGAAGCAGGCACCATGCAGGGAGCCTGACTTGGGACTCGATCCAGGGTCTCCAGGATCACGCCCTAGGCTGCAGGTGGCGCTAAACTGCTGCGCCACCGAGGCTGCCCCTATTTTTTGGTTTTGTTAATAACTGCTGTCTTCCTAGCATCTGAAACATTCCAGCACATCATTAGGCACTCAATAAATATCTGCCAACTATTTTCCAATTTTAGTATATTCATACGATCTCTGTTGAGATTACTGTTTTAATTATAGTATGTTAATTGAAGAGGGTGCTAGATTTCATAAAATATTCCTGAGTTATATTTAGTTATTCAACACACTTTTGAGCAACTAAATTCTAGGTCTGGCACTATACCAGAGAACAAGATTAATATCCTACTCCCGTGGAGCTTAATTCTAGATAATTTCAATTTGTAATAAATGCTGTGAATAAGATGAGTGTAGAAAATGTCACAGGATCTGAGAGATATTCTAAATAGGGCGGTAAAGTAAGGCATTTCTGAGGAGGTTATATTTGAGCTGACACCTGAATGATGAATATGAGCATTTGGGGCAGGGAATGCGTTTTAGACAGAGGGAATGAATGATGTTGCTCTGTATGATAATTTTGTGCTATCTCCTTGTTAGATTTTTATTTCAAGCATGTGCTGGCTTTTTAAGATGACTGACTTGATAAAATGGATTGAAAAGGGTACATAGCGTAGATTTGAAAGAAAGCACATGAAAATTTACTTCTGCCAATTTTCTTTTAACTTTTTCAAGTTTCCCCCCATCATTCATAATTTGCTATATTTTTCTCTTTTAATATTTTATTTATTTATTTGAGAGAGAGACAGAGGACAAGCAGGGGAGGGGCAGAGGGAGAGGGAGAAACAGACTCCCCATTGAGCCGGGAGCCTGACATGGGGCTCAATCCCAGGACCCTGGGATCATGACCTGAACCGAAGGCAGATGTTAAACCAACTGAGCCATCCAGGTGCCCCTTTACTACATCTTTCTTGATAAGCTTTCTTAGAAGATGCTTTTTTCCCAGAGATTTCCTCTTTTTTTTTTTTTTACATAGGCTATACAAAGGAACATATCTTCTGCTCTTTTCTGTATCTATTGTTGCCCCTTCTCTCTCTCTCTTTTTTTTTTTAAGATTTTATTCATTTGAGAGAGAGAGCTTGTGTACAGGTGGGGAGAGAAGCAGAGGAAGAGGGAGAAGCAGACTCCCCCTTGAGCCCATGATGGACTTCATCCCAGAACCCTGGGATGAACCGAACTGAAGGCAGAGACACTTAACCAACTGTTTCATCCAGGCACCACTTTTTTTTTTTCCCTTCTTAATAAGTGAGACTTGATGGAGACTGGTTTATTTTATTGTTTATGTGTTTGGTTTATGAAAAGCTCTTGTATTTATCAGCTCCTTTTTTCTGGTTTTTTTTTTTTTTTAAATTAAGAAAAATCTAAAAAAAAAAACCAAAAAATTAAAAAAAATATTTTCACACTTCTTGTAGATCTGTACTCTTTTTTTAGCATATTGATTTTTATAGCTTGGTTAATTTATTCGTGTTCTTTCTTGCATTTAAGGTTATGAATTTCTTCTGAAAATATATTTTTAAAGTTTAGATTTTCTTCTTTGACCCAAAAGTTATTTAGGAACATACATGGAATTCTCATATCTTGTTTTTTTTGTTTATTATTTTCATATTAATTTTTCATTTTATTTCATATAGATATGTATTGAGGTTTTTGTGTCTTAATAATGCTCCATTAAGGTTATGAAATATATATATGTGTGTGTATATATATATATATATATTTTTTTTTTTTTTTAATTCATGAGAGACACATAGAGGCAGAGACACAGGCAGAGGGAGAAGCAAGCTCCATGCAGGGAGCATGGTGTGGAACTCGATCCTGGGACTAGGATCATGCCCTGAGCCGAAGGCAGACGCTCAACTTGACACTGAGCCACCCAGGTGTCCCGTGAAATATATTTTTTTAATTCATATTTTAAACTTAGAGAAAAATATAAAGTGAACAACCATGTACCTACCATCCAGCTCCTGAAAGCCATTTTGCAATACTTATTTCAAATTTATTTTAAAACAAATAAGGGGATGCCTGGGTGGCTCAGCGGTTGGGCACTTGCCTTCTGCTCAGGTCATGATGCGGGATCCAGGATTGAGTCTCGCATCCGGCTTCTTCCGAGGAGCCTGTTTCTCCCTCGGCCTATGTCTCTGCCCCTCTCTCTCAGTCTGTCTCTCTCATGAATAAATATAAATGTTAAAAATATATATATATATGGATAAAATAACAAAACTAAAAAGAATGGGAGAAGATATTTGCAAACAACATCTCTGATAAAGGGTTTAGTATGCAAAATCTATAAAGAACTTATCAGACTCAACACCCAGAAACCAAATAATCCTGTTAAGAAATGGGCAGAAGACATGAATAGACATTTTTCCAAAAAAGACATCTCAGTGTCTAACAGACACATAAAAAGATGCTCAACATCATTCATCATAGGGGAATACAAATCAAAACCACAATGAGATACCACCTCACAGCTGTCAGAATGGCTAAAATGAACAGCACAAGAAACAACAGATGTTGGCAAGGATTTGGTGAACCCTCTTGCACTGTTGGTAGGAATGCAAACTGGTGCAGCTGCTCTAGAAAACACTGGAGATTCTTCAGAACGTTAAGAGTAGAACTACCCTACAATCCAGCAATTGCACTATTAGGTATTTACCCAAAGGATACACTACAGATTGAAAGGGGTACATGCCCTCCAGTGTTTATAGCAGCATTATCAATAGCCCAAATGTCCATTGATGAATGGATAAAGAAGATGGGGTGTATGTATACACACACACACACACACACACACACACAATGGGATATTAGCCATGAAAAAGAATGAAATTTTGTGATTTGCAATGATGTGGGTGGAACAAGAGTGTATTATGTTAAGCAAAGTAAGTCAGAGAATGACAAATGCCATATGGTTTTATTCATATGTAGGATTTTTATTTTAATTTATTTTTTATTGGTGTTCAATTTACCAACATACAGAATAACCCCCAGTGCCCGTCACCCATTCACTCACACCCCCGCCCTCCTCCCCTTCTACCACCCCTAGTTCGTTTCCCAGAGTTAGGAGTCTTTATGTTCTGTCTCCCTTTCTGATATTTCCCACACATTTCTTCTCCCTTCCCTTATATTCCCTTTCACTATTATTTATATTCCCCAAATGAATGAGAACATACAATGTTTGTCCTTCTCCGATTGACTTATTTCACTCAGCATAATACCCTCCAGGTCCATCCACGTTGAAGCAAATGGTGGGTATTTGTCGTTTCTAATGGCTGAGTAATATTCCATTGTATACATAAACCACATCTTCCTTATCCATTAATCTTTCAATGGACACCGA